CCGACCGCGTTCAGAGCCTCCGCATAGTACTGGCGAACGGCCAGGCAGTACGCTGCTCACCCCAGCAATCGCCAGATCTCTTCCGGGCTGCGCTCGTTTCGCTGGGCGCATTAGGCATCATCGTCGAAATCGAATTCCAGATGATAGAAGCGAACAACGTCGAATGGATACAAACTATACTGCCGATTGAGGATGTTTTGGCAGACTGGAACAATGGGCTTTGGACATCGAGCGAGTTCACGCGAGTATGGTGGCTACCGTACATGAAGCGCGCAGTCGTATGGCGGGCAGACAAGACGGACAAGGCACATCGGCAGCCGGAGTACAACTGGTATGGCGGTAGCGTCGGCTTCCACACATACCACATTCTCCTCTGGATATCGCAGTACGTCCCACGCTTCCTGCCCTGGGTTGAGTGGTTCGTCTTCGGCATGCAATACGGATTCAAGGACGGTGCTCTCATCTCTGCGGTTGGCGAGCAGCGCACGGAACTGTTGATGAACTGTCTCTACTCGCAGTTCGTCAACGAATGGAGCGTTCCCCTCGACAAAGGTCCTGAGGTACTGTCGCGACTGACAGACTGGTTGCACGGCGACGAGCAATCCTCCGGCATTCCCTTCAGCACCAAAGGTCTTTACGTCCACTCGCCTATCGAAGTCCGCATCGCAAACACTGTCAACCGAGAACCGCGTCCATTCCTAGATACCTCATATCCCGATCAACCCGCTCTGTACCTTAACGCCACGCTCTACCGTCCCTACGGCCAGGATCCCCCTTGCCGCGAACGCTACTACCAGGCCTTCGAACACCTGATGAAAGAGTACAACGGCCGACCTCATTGGGCAAAGAACTTCCAATCCGTCGACAACGCCTACCTCTCCTCTGTATACGGCAATGACCTAGACGAATACAACCGCGTCCGCAACGAAGTCGACCCCGAAGGCATGTTCCTTGGCGCCTGGCACCGTCGCACCATCCTCCCTCCCAAGACCGATCTCCCTCTCCTCCCTCTCGAAGAAAAGGAAGTCGTACGCCGCGACCGACGCACAGGTGGAGTCGACTGGATAGGCGAGCAAGCCCGGTGGTTCGACGGCGGTGCTGATGTATTCGAGAAGGCGGGTAGCGAGTCTGGCGAGAGCTTCGATTACATGGCCGGCGCGGAAGCGGAGAGCAGTGTGTTGTTGGAGAGCTTGAGCGATGAGCTTATTGTTACGGAGGAGACTTATGAGAATGTTACGGAGAGCCGGAGGAGAGAGGGGACTGAGGAGTATGTTACGGGTACGAATGTGTTCAATAAGATGTAGATGTATATACTAGGAGGGGAAATACACCACTCAATGAAGATATGATAACGATGTATCAGTGTTGCGATGTTTGCTTATCTCCATTGCCGTGATGAATAAATGTTGTATCTCTAGGGTGGCTTGCGTGCCAGTGCACCCAATCGGGTAAGGCGCATCCGTGGCTTCCCATCGTCATACTTCCAACATTGACGCGTCTGCCACCATCACTCACGTTACTCACGTTCACTACAGTCAGTCGAAGACATGGTGACTATCAACGAAGATATGTCGTCGAATGCATACCCCTCTCCCTGTGGCGATCATCGCGATCACCGCGATCGACGATAATATATCGAGCGGATGGACCCATCGGCAAGAAGCCGGCTCCAGATGTGAACATGGGCAACGGCGTCTCATTATTTGATAGGGGAAGTTGCTGCACTGCGTTCTTCTTCATAGACCTCGTTGTGTCCCATCATCAATCGATTGACAGCATCATAGTGTTGATACCATGCAGTTGTATATCCGGTCGACCGTGTACTGGCGATAACACAGCACGCCCCCGGAGATTGGGCCTTGCCATGGAGCATGCTCAGCTTTGCTCAGCACTCGATTTCCTCATGCCCGAAGATTGGTCCTACAATTAAAGGCCTCACGGATGAGGAGACCCGTAACGAGGACTTCTATCACGCTTCGACGCCACATGCAGCCACCCCTTACATCTTCTCGGCTGATGGGCGTTATTTCCGCTTGCGAGATCATGACCCACAAGTAATATATCTCCTACCTTGGCAGCCACGTTCTGAGCTTGGCATGCAGCCACGACACGAGGAAAGCTTGGCCGATTCCAGAAGGTGGCCGACATGATTGCTTGGAAGTCTGCTTGCAGGGATATAGGAGAAAAGGAAGTCAATGCAGGGAGTTCAAGGCGAACGATATTTAAACGAGCGATTAGATTGACACATTACGGACTAGTTTGAACGACCCGCATCGCCCGTATCTACAGTCTAATCCGGACAGCAACCGAAGCGCCGCTATTGTCTGTTCTTGCACACCGACTGCTCATCCGATTATCCGCGACCCATCCTGACTTAGGAAGTCTGCACATAGATGTCCGAGCTGCCAGAAGACTGGTAACCCTCAGTGGCGACAATCTGGTAGTAGTGCTGGCCCAAGTTCATGCCGTAACGAGCCCAGGCGTTGAAGTGGTTCTGCATGTTTACGCTGCCACCGACGCGCTTTTGCGTGCGGACAGACCTGGAAGGTTGTTAGTGCGCGTCCAACGTCCACATGTTGCTGGTCAACTTACCAGTACTGCTGAAAGGTCCTTGTTCCATCGATGGAGGGCTGGTTGGTACGGGTGGAGGTGGAAACGTCGTAGGTACCGCCGTCAGTCGTGAAGCTGCCCTTGCGCTGGGATCCGCTGCTGGGGTTGTAGGTGCCGTAAGACTCGATCACGTAGTACTCCACAAGCGGGTTGCGGGTCCAACCGTAGACGGCAAGGTAACCGTTACCCTGAGGCTGGAAAGATCCGCCGTAGTTGATCGTGCTAGGATGGGGATCAGCAAATGATGAAGCTTAGTACTTCCAGATGACATACCGGCCAGTTCCAGGGTTCCATCCCTTGCCACCGACGAAGTTGCCGGTGTTCCTCCAGGTCACGGAGTACCTGCTGCCCTCTCCCATTGTGTACTGAGCGGAACCACCGCCATCAGTCCACCACGAGTAGAAGTACCCGTTGTTGTAGCCCTCAGCGCTGGGAGTGGACTGACGCTTCTCAAGAGCAGTTGCGTTGCCATCGTCACGCTCAGTGAGGAAGTCAAAGGGAGCGGCGAGTACGCTGGTGGTAGCCACAGCGGCGAGAAGGAGGGACTTGAAAGAGACCATGTTGAGCTGAGTTGGAGATCTGTGCTGGATGCGGTGATGATACTGAACTGCGAGAAGCAACGAGCTTATATGTCAACTCCGAGGTGGAGATGAGCCTGAATCGCTGGAAGAAGTCGCCTTTGGTGGTCATGAGGTATCATCTCGCCTCTGTCTACATCCGTCTTGGTGTCAACGACGATGGTGTGTTCCAGTCCTCTCATTTCGAAAAGCACGCCCAGCGCACTGACTAGAACGGCCTAGGAACCACGAACACGGCAAGCTGCACCGTTCAGTGACCGGCCTCGGTAATCATGGACAAGATAGAAAAGCACAAAGATCCATGCCCCTTGCACCCATCTGCACGACACCACAAAGATAATATCGCTGATCCGGGCTTTACGCGCTTTCTCAACCCGGTTCACAGGATGTTAATATAAAAGAACGCCACTAGGGTACAGGTGGTCGCCTTACCCCACACTCCTCGGAAGACAACGAAGCTTGGAAGGAACACCCGCTGCGCTAATGTCATGTAGGCGATGATATTGTTAGCGACAGTGGCGCACGTGATGAAACATTGGGCGCGCGTGGCGGGAAGCCTCGGCAAACTCAGGATAACCACCGGATGAAGAGGATCTGCCAAGATGTATAGTAGCCGGCTTTTCTACCGATCCTGGTAAGACATGCCAAGCGCGGTGGGTATCTTGAGCGGAGATGATGTGTGGAGTGCATGAGTGGATCTCGAGGTCGGTGAGTACATGATAGCAATGTTACTATGCACTACATGAACGCATAATGGTGGTGTTATTACTGAGAGGTCAAGGCACCCCTGGAAGTGTATCGAGGTTCGCGAACTCTTCACAGTTCACACATTCAGCGTTCAGGAGATCATCACTTCGCGAACTCTCATTTTGCCTTGATCGCCTGTACTCAGTTAGGCGATCGACACGATGGTCTCTGACTAACAACATGGACTACAGGATGAAGTGCTGGTGCAACACCATTCGAAGCGACCACCAGTATACAGCACTAACGGCTTCGCGTACAGTATCGGGGACTAAGGCTGCGCTTGTAGGTCGCGCAACCTGCCCAGTTCTCTAGATCCAAGACCGCCGAATGCTTCATATTACATGGCAAGCCGGTGGCATCCAGATGTCGTACGAATTTACCCAGCCATGTCCTTGATGGCGCGTAGATCAGGGTCGGTCCATCCGATGGCTATCACGGCATCATCGCGGAAAAAGGAAACATGAAGGACGTAGGCAGGGATTGCATCCGGTTTACAGTACTACACCACGGTGGAAAGGAGTATCTGCATCTTGGTGTGTGGCAACATCAACTTCAGCCGCTGCTGTATACCGGTGTAGAGTCTTGTCCTTGTGTGACTAGTCTGGCTACTATCATCTACGATATCGGACTTCCAAGGTCTTGTGCTGTTTCAGCCAGCTGTTGTGGATATCAGATCTTGCCGAGTGCGATTTCCGGAGTCATTTCATGGCCCACCAAAGCTCCTGCTTACCACCGATCCCTGACAAGCCTTGTTGTCGTTTGCCACATTGCGGCTGATCAGGCGATGCGACTTGGGAGATCAGCTATCCGGTTCGTACGAGCGACGCGTGCAAAATTTGTCAGTGCAAGATTAGATGGCGTGAAGATCCAGCCGAAGGGATACGTTCACGTCGCGCTGAATATTCGTCCCGCGGAGATGGTTGGGGAGAGAACTTGTGTCCAACGAAGATATTTCATACTATCACAGCGTTATCTGCGCGTTACAAAGTCAACATGAAAATTTAGGGCATTAAGCACCGCGAAAGATGATATGAAAGATTTTCGCATCTTCTCATTCCCTTCGAGTCACTTCTCAAGAGACGAACCACCGAGCCTGCCCAGAGCCCTGCCTAAAGCACCCATGATACCTCCAGAAGCCATCGGTTGCTGTTGCACTTCCTCACGACCCAATCGATCCCAAGCCGCACACACGTCGCCCATAGCGACCTCGTCTTTCTCATCGAAGCTCAACTGAGCGGTGAAAGAAGCAACAGTCGTAGTACCAAGCTTGATTGTGTGCGGAAGAACACCACTGCTCAGTACACTATGTGCTGTGTATAACGACGGTAGAGCATGAACCCCTCGCTTCTTTCGCTCGATGTTGACAAGCTTCAGGAACGCGGTCACCACGGCTTTCCGAGTAGCCTTTCCGCTTTCCTCGACCTCTATGAATTCAAGGTAGGAGGAGAGGGGCTCCGTACCGAGACGCATTACACTCACCTCGGAACCGCAGTTGGAAGCTACAGGTACTTGAGGGCTAGTCGAAACTGTCTCCACAAGCTCTCCATTGGAGAGCTCGTTCAGTGATCCGTCGCGAAGCTCCTCTTTGCTGCCTGAGTGCATGGTTGATTGGAGGCTTCCTTGCTGCGTCGCAACAACTTCACACTTCTCAGTACTGACCGATGCAGCATCGTCCGAACCGAAATTCGAACCTTCCGTATGGCTCGAGAGCTCTTGGCGATCACACAATTCGGATACTTCGGAACCCTCTGAACCCGTGTCGTCCACGTCGTGAAGCCTTTCGCGGATGCCGGGGTCTGACTGGGCGTCTTCGATGCGAGTGTCAATACTCTCGGAGGTCTTGTCGTGTGCGCCGTTGGAATGTTCGAGGATACCTTTGATTGGAGAAGCGACCGACTCAAAGTCTGACCCACCATCATCCTTGATGGTTTCCACGTCATGTAGAAGCTGTTCGTAGGCGATGCATTGGACTACACCATCCGCGTTTGCTAGGAACATCCGACCACGGAGTATGCTCTCGAGTGACAGGTCGGTGCCGTTCTCGTCAAGATCTTGGTCCATTTTGTAGCCCACAGTAAGGCTCAGTGGCCTAGACCTGTAGTATGGTACAAGAGCCCATTCATGGTTCGCACAGTCTGACGATAATTCCGGCTTTCTCTCGATATCAGCAGCTGTGGATGGAAGCTTATATCTGTACACAGGGGCTGCACCGTTGTCAATCGTGGCATCCTCGAGCCGCGTGAAGATCGATGACTCTGTCGCATCCGACTTTTGTGATAACACTTCCTTGAAAGCTTTGCTTGATGCTGCGGCGGTCGTAAACGTAGGACTACCTAGCTCTTTCACGAAGGCTTCGCTGAAAGCCACTGAAGTTGAACTATTATCATCAATGTCCTCAACATCCTGGGGTAAAGAGGTTCCATACTCGTGATTGAAAACGTCAGTGATGTTTGAGCGTTCACCAAACGTAGCAACGCCGGTGGGAGCTGTGAAGGTGAAGCTATCGTTGAAGCTGCCCAGGGACTCTAAAGGCAGTGGCGACAACGTAGGCAAAGAGCCTGAGGACTGAAACCCAGTGACATCAGTGCTCGATGGTGGTAGCTGCTGTAAGGCAGTTGAGGTAGGTGAAGCAGCGTCAATATCTTCAGAAGACATAAGGCTAGAGTGTTGATGAGTGGACACAGCCACATCCCGTGGCGATGTTGCGCTGTCCTGGGTAGGTATGAGTCGACTGGGAGGCGTGTCGAACCGCTCAGGCTCGACAGTACCGACTAGTGCATACTTTACGTTACTCGAAGGCGCCTCCTTAGTGGCCGATGACCCTTGTTTCCTAGCAGCTCTCTTCGCCGCCTTCTTTTGTCCCTTGGTCGGAGCTAGGAGAGGCATGATGACGGCGGTCAGGTGTGTATTTGTGAGGTGGAGTCCTCTTTTCCCCTCAAATCAACCTGCAGTAGGAGCGGAACAGTCTGTCCGAGGCAAACGAGTCGTAAGTGGTTGGTAGGTGTCGCAGGTGTAGTTGAACTGAGAAGTGTAAAATCACCGCTTCTGGAGTACGTAGGTTGTATTTCCACCTTTTACGGACGAGGCAGGGAGTGAAGGTAAGTATAGCAACTCGCAGGTGGCCATATCTGCGAATACTTGGCAAAGGCGCGATCGTACGCACATGAGAATGGTGAAAGCCCCATACACATGATGTGAATCGAACCTTGGAAGCCGTCACTCTGGCAATTACATGCAATGGCAAACCACCTGGAGGAATTGTATATATGTTGTTTTCCCATATCTAGCGTAGCGTATATATGTGGTGGAAATCTCGCAGTGAAGGCAAAAGGATAAATGCGTCGCACTTCTATAAGTCCACGGGCGCCTTCTACATCTGTCCGGTTTAGTGTAGTAAGTATTTGGCTGACATAGAGTAATTGCTAACAATCTCGCAGTTGGACGTTGGCAAACTTTGCAAATATCTATTCGTGGTCTCGATCGTTCCGGAAGATGATCGTAACATCGCTTCCGGACTGACGCGGATATGCTATGGATACTAAGCACGGAGTATTGGTTCGCATATTGAGAAGATCAAGTCGTTAAGCTTGGGAAAAATAACTTGCAATAGTACATGCACGAGATACGTTAGCAGAACCTTGAGGTGGTGGTTACCCTTCACCGTAACAGGTATTTGCCTAAGTACCTAGGTAGGTAACGTTGGCACGAGACGAGCAAAACGCCGAAAATTCAAAAGCGTACAAACCTGGTAGAGTTATTCAAACCACTTCAGCACGAACGCGTTCTCGCGATGAAAGTGGCGTGGCATTTGACCCTGAGGGCTCAAGACACTACGCGCTAACAGTAAGGCCCGATGACAGGAAGCAACACTATACCACAATCTGACCCGGACCGAAACAATTCAATATCGAAAGAACGCGATGGAATCTAAAAGGCTGTCGGAATTTCAGCCATTGTGATCGATACGGTTTCAAAAATGAAGATGGCTGGGGAAGATTTACTTCTTCGGCGCGTTCTGGTGAGCACTAGTGGTCACTAGCGCGACGCGTCCGTATGAACGCCTACAGGGATCCAAAAGTTCTTCATATAAAGACATGACGATACCCTTATTATTTCTGCAAACTTCCAGCTAATACAGAATGTCGAATCCAATCGTTATCGAGGTGAAGGAAAAGGTGGAAGGGGACATCTACTCATATGATGGCACACTGTACAGAATTAATGGAGAACGTCGTCTCGGCATCGATAGAATTCTCGTCACGCTTTTCAACATGAACGAAAAAGAGATGCGTAGACACGGATTATTCTGGGGTGTAATCTCTCCTGCGGACTTGGGCAAAGAAGCAAACTACGTCAGAATTAAGATGCTGCGAGAAGGACTGGAAAAGCTGGAAGCTGGCCGCGTGGCAGAGGAATTGGCAAGTCCCGTGTTTCCTTACTTCAGTTCAAAAATCTAGTTCTTTCGGCCGTGTTCCTTGAACTAATAATCATTGCAGCTGCCAGTATATCCGAGACAGATATTCGAGAACCTTGCCACAGAATGGCACAGGAGGCATGGATGGCACATTACTCCTCCATCTACAATTACTCCTCCGTCTACGATTACTCCTCTATCCACAATCACTCCTCCATCTACAATTACTCCTCCATCTACACCACCTGCAGCAAACGACCTCAAAAGGGAGCTCGATGAACCCATCCCATACGACCATGAGATTCTGTCCAGTAAGAAGATCAAATCGGAAGAGTTCACAAGCGACGGTGTCGACGCAGCCATACCCTCACATGCAGGGGAGTATGTGAACCGTTATTGGGGGAAGCAACCCGAAAACCCATGGACTCCAGAACGAAGCGAGGATGAGAAAAATCTCATGAGCCAACACGAGGCATGCCGTGCCAAGCAGACTTTCGTTGCAGCTATGGGTACTTACTGGATTCAGTGCCCACTCATTGAGCATAAACACCCAGAACTAAAAAGTAGTCTGCGCATGGTTGTTCAAGGCCTTGATGATCATACACAGGAACGTGGCTTGCTCGAGGCCCACCTCAACCTTGGGCTATTGAAAGGCACCATGGTTATGGGGCCTGGCCTTGACATAGTCCAAGATTGGTGTTACAGACACCAAAGCCAGCGTTCAAGAGATGGTGGCAATGGGAAATGCAGGGTTGACAAGGACACAGAAAGACTTCGAGACGTTCTAGAAGAGCTCAAAAGAGTAAATAGAATACCTATGGACGCGATCATTAAATCACCGCCTCTCGACTTACGAAAGCCACTCGACCTCGACTGCGAAGCTCGACTATACGAGAACAGACCATCCATTGGTAGACCCATTCGGATCTCTGGCGATACCGCGCATCTCGAATTCCGAGGAGATAGTTTGTATTTCGAAGGCAAGATCAACCTTCCTATGATCAGCGACACGCCTGTAAAGATTTGTGGTTACAGAATCAAAAGCGATGATTCTTGCACCGTTGAGAAGTGGTTGGATTACGATACGTCGAAGGTCGAATACGGGGCGGTGTGGAACGAGTGTTGACCGACAGAAGATCTTGTTTGTTGACCGATGTTAATGGGGTAGATTTTGTCGCTAGTTATCAGAGTAGGCGTAAGAGCAGCAGTGCGCTGCCCGTGCCGCGCGATCTTTAGCCATGTAGATATTCTTTTCCAGCCCTACTGTTGACCGCTTTCAACTGTTGCTTTGTCAGGTATCAATGTACACCGCAACGCGTGTCATCGCGATCTGTGGCTGTGGTGTGAAAGAGCCTGCAAACCTTACAGAGAGGGCACTGTTAGCGTGTTAATGCGCGGATGCATCCTTCTGTATGCCTGGGTCAGCCCGCCGGGTCCGCAATGAATGCTGACACTTTGCATGTAACAGTGCCGTCGCTGCTAGTGTGCCCAGGTGTTGAGAAGAAGAAGTTGCATGCATGACTCGAGTCGGAACTTCAGGCTGCTCGCTCATATCTTCGACGCCGACTTCTGATGCGTGCGGCAATACTGAGAGCATCGTGGTGTGCTACGTCACCTTGTTGGATCTGGACACACCTAGGTAGAGTTTACAGTTTATTGAACCTTCGCGGTAGGCTCGGGACAACTTGTGGAGATTCTGTGGAAGGGTGCCTGACTGCTGAGAGCGACTTGTCGCTTTCAGATGGCCGGCGCTTGTCATTGGTCGGCGAGCAGCGGATTCCAGATGCCGCAGTGTCAGCTAAGGCCAACGCGCGTCTCGGCAAGCATCCCCACCCTGCGTCCGCTCGCAGGGGTATCGCCATGCACCCATATACATCGACATGCTGCCACTATGGACAGTATCGACACACATGCCCTATTCCCATATTGCCAGCACTTACTGCGAGCCTGAATCACAAAGTTGATTGCATTCACCAATTACTTACGACAATGGCCGAACTATCGTCTGCCGCAACAACCTTGGCCGGAGTGACGTATACATATAATGGATCGCTTCACCCGCGCACACGAATGCTGATAAACCACTTCTGCCTTGAGCTTGAGGAGGAGGTCGAGCAAAAGCTCATCAACGCGCGACTCGGAGTGGAGGACGTCTCGGAGGAATGGCTCCAGGCGCAGTTGCTGTTACGCGCTTTCGGGCGTCCCGGTGAAGAAGTCCGCCGAACGAAGCTTGACATGATCTCGAGTCTCGAGATTATCAACGCGATACTGGAGGACAAATACTACATCGTTAGTTTAACAATACCCATGTTTATTACCCATCATACTAACCCATGTCCAGCGCCCATTGGAGCATCTCCTTGAACTCTTCCACAATTTAGAGGAGGTTTGGGCCAAAGCATATCCTGAGCACCCAGCTTCAGAGAATTATTTCAAGAACAAAACGCGACACAACGCCTCCCAGTGCTGGTGCTTTGCTGCACAGCAAAAGAACCTACTCATCGAAAAAACGTTGCCTGCCACGGTGACAAAGTCAAAGCCGAACGCGAGTCAGGCCGCACGACTTGCACTGGAAAGTCAAGCCGCGAATGAACCGAATGTTCTCCAAGCACCCGCTGTGCACAAGCGGCCACTACCGGACGCTGAAGAATTTGGCGAGCCTTCCAGCGGTTTGCACAAAAGACAAAAGCTCCCGTCGCCTACTCCTGAGTCTGATATCGATAACACGGAACACCCATTATCCTCGATCGAGCAAACTCCAGGCGCACCCCCGACGCCTCCAGAGCACGTGGACCATCTGCCCCTTCCATTTGCGGTTCCTGTAAAAAGAGAAGTATCGTCAACACAAGAGCTTGCGGTTTCTGTACCTCAGTCCGAGAGCCCTCTATGGCGAGCGATTCTTGATGAACACAGCAGAACCAGGCTGCATAGGTACATGACTCAGATTGCAGGTACCTACATGGTACAGTGTCCGTTGCTTGAGACGAGACATCCAGATCTCGTCGGGCAACTCAGCATCGTAATCAAGTACATTGGTGCTCCCTCAACTACGTCTGGCATACTCGAGGCTTATTTCAACTTTGGCAAATTTGTTGGCCCGGCAGTACTCGGGCTCGACGATCCCCACCTCACAGAGTACCTTTGGGCCACAGCAAAAGAAAGACGGGGCCAACGTGGTCCTACTGATTACGTGAACGCCGAAGTTGAAAGACTTCGCGAGGCCGCACTAGATTTGGCTGGGCAAAGAACACCGGCACAGAAGAAGACTAACCTGAAGACTAGAAATCTTAGAGACATTCCTGCTCTTGAGATTGACACTTCCGAGTTACCCGATTTGTGTTTTGACGCTCGACTTGATAATCCGACCGGCGAATACTACGACTCAGGCACTTATCGCATCGCTCAGGGAGGAATCGAGTTCAGTGAGAGCGGTCTGTGTTTCGGCGGAACGATCAGGTTGCCAGAAAGTGCT